ACAAACATATTTCAACGATTATTCCACTCATGTGTTAGAAATCCCATAAGACAAGTGACGATTTTCAGAATTACAGCGATAATTCTCCCATGTTATTGTATATATGGTTGTCATGCTAATTTTTGATACAAACAAACGGTTTCTGATAGCAACCATTTATTTGTATTGATTGTTAAGATGTTCAAGTCGTTAAATACATATTTATTTCCATATTTTTTGCATTCTCATACGTGAAATAATCCTCTAAATACCACTTGAGCTTTAAAATGAACCAGATAATTTTTCACTCATGCGTGTTTTCTCTGCAAGTTTCACTCGTCCTACGGACTCGTGAAATTAAAGAAAACACGCAATCGTGAAAAATTATCGGTAATTTTGACGCTCTCGTGGTATTATCACCGAAAGTTTTTGTGAATGAAGTGAAAATCTTAATTTCAATGTTTCAAAGGGTAAGTATGGATTTTCAACTTCCACAGCGATAACAGAACAGTGACGAAAATTGAATTTTTTTCTATATTATCTTCATTAAATTTATTTGTGGTTATTATTTTTGGAATATTCTTTCAATGATTTGTTGAATATTATTAGATATTTAGTTTGTTTTTAATATCTATCAACTTAGCGAGACAACTTCGAAAAATCGATTTTCCATTATGCCAAGAATTTGCCGCTTTTTTGCCGATAATTAAATGTGGAATTAAAAAAAAATTCGCGTTTTTTTTTGTTTTTTCTTAATTACGTGTTTTGCTAACTCAAGATAGCGAGACAACATCACTAAATATGTCAGCAGTAAAAAATTAGGTAGGTGAAAATTTGGGCGTACATGAACTGCGGACCAAAAACCATAAATGATTTCCAAAATGTGTCCCTGTGTATTTAATGACCCATGAATTGCGGACCAAAGTCGAAAGGGCCCCCTGAAATGTTTAAGTGAACGAGGAAACCTTTATTCTTTTTTAGTGTTCAATAACGCAAAATTTTCTTTCAAGAAAACATTGAAAAGCGGTGAGAAGTGTTGGACGTGTACTTTCAAAAACTGTACTGCTATAACCTACGAAATAATATCTACTACCATAAGCGCAAAACCCAACCACGATTACCGAAAAGCCTAAGTGAAACGATAGGCATTTTGGAAGAAACCGACGTATGGAGTGTGGAAAGTGAGAATTTTTTTATTTGTAAACGATTTAGAGAAGAAAATTGTTGTGTTTTCTACAGAAAGTAACATGACTGCATTATGTAACACAGATAAAATATATTTGGATGGGACGTTTTCCTACTATGCCAAATATTTTCTGCAATTATTCACAATTCATATAGAATATAGAGCAAAATGGCTATTACATTCCTATTAGCCTGGTCCGCAATTCATGGTTTTTTAAAGATTGGTCTTCTTGGTTTGGTCCGCAATTCGAGTACGGGATTATTAAAATCAGGTAATCGGTCCGCAGTTCGAGACCGCCGGAAAATTTGCCGTTTTTTTGCCGCTAATTAGTTGTGAAAACCAAAAATTTGTCGGTTCTTTTTTTTTTCATAAAAAATCAAGTTTGAAAAAAAAAATCATTTGTTTCGCTAACTTGACGTCAAGTTAGCGAGACATTATCACTAAAAATGTCGGTAGTGAAAAATTGAGTGAATGGAAATTTGCCGTTTTTTTGCCGCTAATTAGATGTGAAAACTAAAAATTTGCCTTTCTTTTCATAAGAAAATCGTGTTTGAAAATAAAATAATGTTTGCTAAGTTAACGTAAAGTGGTGAATTCCGTATTCAAGAACTCGCCAAGTTTTCAAGAAATCGGTCGTTGTTCAGGTGGATGTAAGCCAAGGATTAAAAGCCTACCGACCATAACAATCGTCGACAAGGAAATGGGAAAACCTCTTGAAGAAGTGATAAAAGAACACGTTGTTCTTCCTGATGTTCGATGCCATCAAAAAATTTGCAAAGGAATAGAAGAAAATGAATTTCATCTGATAGGTAAGTAATACTTTTTCCCATGAATTTAACAAGATATATAGGGTGGGTAAATTTCGGTGTTTAAATGGGGTACCTATGTATATCGGAAACTAGCAGAGTTATCAAAAATCTGGGAGCACGTTCTCAAGCTCTTTTCTCGAGAAAATAACAACGAGTCGTTGGTGGTTCCTCCATAAGAGCACATGTGCACGTGCACTCCCAAATTAATATCAAACAACTTTAAATTTAATTTTATCATTCTTCAAATTTTAACAATCTACCTGTAAAGTATTAATTTAAAAAATTAGTGGCCAAATGCGCCAGCAAAACAAACGCAACCGGCATTTATTATGAATTACAAATTATGTGCACCCCCAATATGTTATACCACGAGCCGCCACTGACAACGACGTGAACAAGTCAAGGCTATCTTGATGCATTTAGGAAATACAAGGCGATTCTCAATTTTCCCCAATTTTAAAAGACCCTTTTATTTCTTTATAATTCAAGAAAACGAAAAACAATAAAATTTCGAAAAACAGCTTTTCAGAAATCGGCGACATGACCAGATTTTTTTCAAATATCGTTTATCTCCTAAACGCATCAAGATAACTGTGATTTGTTACCGCCATTGTTATTTTCTCGGAAAAAGAGCTCGAGAATCTTCTCCAAGATTTTTGATAACTCGGCTAGTTTTCTATAAACCCAATTAAATCACCGAAATTTGCCCACCCTACATGTCCATCATTTTTTCTTCAGGAGATCTCGTCATCATAGGAGTTGATATTTTGCTTTTTGATTTTTGAAACCTATAAGGCCTCCAATAGAGTTTTCCTAAGCTAAAGAAAAAAAAGCTGAAAAACTATTCACCAAAAATTTAGAAATAAATATTTGTTCCAACGAATGTTGAGTTTCACTAATTAAAATATACAGGGTGCATAAAAACTAAGGGTGGGAGATCATTTATAACGGAACACCCTTTTACTCACCTAATTTTATACTGCCCTTCGTTTTTTGTGATGATGTCGGTCTAACTTAACGGCAAGCTTGCTAAACACATAAAGTTTTTTTCAAACACGATTTTTTCATGGAGAAAAAGAGCGGCAAATTTTTGGGTTTTCACATTTAATTAGCGGCAAAAAGCGGCAAATTTCCACAGTTTTTCTCTACCACTCAATTTTTCTCTACTGACATTTTTAATGATACTGTTTTGCTCACTTGATGTCAAGTTAGCGAAACACATGATATTTTTTTCAAACACGATATTTTCTTGCAGAAAAAGAGCGGCAAATTTCTACTCACTCAATTTATCACTACCGATATTTTTAGTGATCTCGCTAACTTTACGTTAAATTAGCAAAACATTATTTTATTTTCGAACACGATTTTCTTATGAAAAGAAAGGTAGCAGCAAAATTTTTGTTTTCACATCTTATTAACGGCAAAAAAAACGGCAAATTTCCACTCACTCAACTGACATTGTCTCGCTAACTTGACAACAACAACAAGTTAGCGAAACAAATTATTTTTTTTTTGAAACTTGATTTTTTGTAAAAAAAAAGAAGCGGCAAATTTTTGGTATTCACAATTAATTAGCGGCAAAAAAACGGCAAATTTTCATACACTCAATTTTTCACTACCGACATTTCTAGTGATAATGTCTCGCTAACTTGACGTCAAGTTAGCGAAACAAATGATTTTTTTTTCAAACTTGATTTTTTATGAAAAAAAAAGAACCGGCAAATTTTTGGTTTTCACAACTTATTAGCGGCAAATAAACGGCAAATTTTCACCTACCTAATTTTTTACTGCTGACATATTTAGTGATGTCTCGCTATCTTGACGCCAAGTTAGCAAAACACGTAATTAAGAAAAAACCAAAAGAGCGGCAAATTTTTCAATTCCACATTTAATAAGCGGCAAAAAAGCGGCAAATTCTTGGCATAATGGAAAATAGATTTTCCGAAATTGTCTCGCTTAGTTGATAGACATTTGTTTTGAAACAATTTCATAGCATATATAAATCCACATTTACCTAGGTATATGAATGTATGAAATTGATATCAGCTAGCTGAGTTTTATATTTTTCCCAGATATATTGGATCAAGTACTGAATATTGAAATAGACCCCTGAGAAATCGCATAAGGATTCAGCTCAAATTTCGTTTAGGTAGAATCCTATAGAAACTTATTGCTATAGCCTATGAGCCGTATACTAAATAGATAATTAGGTAATCACAGCAAATGGGTTTCATGGCTAATCGCTTCATGAAATCTTATTTTAGATTATTCGCTACTAGGTATTTATTTAGTTTACCTACCTACTTTAAAGTTCAGCTTAATTGCATAAAAGCTATGCAGAATGAGGTTCGACTTTATTTAATAAAAGAATAGGTATCGATTTAACCTGTAAATACCTACTACTTTGTTTTCAAGTTTCGTGAAAATAGAGCTTAAAATAATCGCAGTTTATTAGCTTTTCATCGCATGTTTAATATTTTCTACTTGACGCAACGAAAACTATTTTTACCTTATAATACATAATATCAAAGTCTATAATAACTATGAACTGTTGGATTCATAAAACATTTAAAAAATTATCTAAAACCGCTAAAAATATTTGCAGATCTTGAAATTGTATCGGAACATATCTTCTGTGCGATAAACTTTGCTATACCTAAGAAAAAGAAGATCATAGTAGGTAAAATGATTCTTACGAAAAACATAAAAAATACACGAAGTTATTAGGTTTTCTAAGGGAAAAAGGTACAATATGATGAAAAGCTGTCCAAATTGCTTGCCAATGAAAATCAGTAGTTACATAGGTAAAGTAAGTAAAAAAAGCTGGCGAAGTGGGGAAAATTTAATAATTTTTGCTACAAGCATGCGGGAGATCACTCTTCCTGCACTATTTGCTGTGCGGGAAAATTTTCTTCCCGCACTAGTGGGCGATTTTATGTTTAGCAAATTTCTCGGCAAATTCTAAAGTAAAGGTTTTTAGAAAAGAATATGTATATGTAACTCAAAAAAATTGTAACATAACTTACCATCCTCGGTTATGTCCTTGTTTATGCACAGCGACAGTAAAACCGAACATCGCTGACTTGCTACTGTCCCGCGTTTCGTATACCGCATAATTGAAAGCTTCGATATTAAATCCATAAACAAAAATATTGTTTAAAAATGAAAACACACACAACACTTTCAAAAAACAGCTCATTGTTACTTTTTTTAAAAAATATATATATTTTATAAAAAATTCACTTTATAATTTTTGAAACGCGCACCAAAATTATAAGTAAAATTCCGCCCGAAAATAAATTAATATAAATAAAACTCGCGACAGAGGTGATTATAAAAACGCGTCAAGTAGCGCACGGTTTAATAATTATTCATTTCAACTCCGACATTTTTCTTGTTTCGCGGTCTTTGATGGACTAAAGCCAGCGAAAAGCGCTCAAACTTAAACTTTAAAAAGCTGTGCTTTAACGCTGCGTTTAAAATTAGTCGAGGCCGTAGCGACACCCGGCGGAGCTTTTGTGAACCTTCACCAGAGCTCGACTCGACGGAAGCTACTGCGGATGGCTGTGGTCTATCGATAGTTTTTTCCATATCGATATTGTATTTTTTCTACGAGCGTGCGGAGAACGCGTTTTTGTTTTTACGCAATGATTCACGTGTGGAATGTACCCCTTTTTCGCACAGCGTGCGTGAAAAAAATCTTACCGCACGTCGAGCGTGAGAAAAGTTTTTCACGCACAGATGTTTTTTTCCAATTTTTCTCTTTATGTGATGTGGTGCTTGTCAAAAATTTCCTTTTCGAACTTTCGGGTCAATTCTGTGCACATCTGTAAGCAAATTTCTATAAGCCTATAGACACTGCAATAGTTATTTACCTAACAAATGCGGAAAGTGATACTTTACCGCACGCAACGGCAGTTGACCGAACGACGCGAAGCGGAGTTCGGTCAAGCCGTTAAGAGCGGTAAAGGCACTTTCCGCATGTGTTAGGTACAAAATTTTACCTATGAGCATCTACATCTCCAAAAAAAGGCATTGATAAAATTAATTAATGAATCAGATTAATTAATAAAATTAGATAGGATTTAGAAATGATCAAAAATCCATTTTCTGAAAAAGAGAGGATTTTTGATTATAAATATCAAATTCTACTTTACCGCACACTATGCGGTAAAGTACACTTTACCGCACACTTTGTATTCTACTTTACCGCATACAATGCTGTAAAGTGCACTTTACCGCATAGTGTGCGGTAAAGTGATACTTTCTATTTGCAAATACGTGTGGTAAAGTGCACTTTACCGCACGCTCGTAGGTAAAAGATATTACGTGGCTGAAGTTAGCTTCATATTCATATTCAGATTCGTGTATAGTACAGTCGACCAGATAATTATTGAAAAAAAAAATTAAAAAACAGGGAAATTCAATCAAATATACAATTAATATAGGGTATTTCTTGGATTCGGAAAAGGTAGAAATAACCTTCAGGCACATTCGAGGATATTTTCTCCAGTTAAGTTAGGTCTAGGAAAGTTACTACGGGGGAAAAACGATTATTTGTTTGAAAATTTGTGGAGAATTAATGATGCTTTGTGGGGATTTTTTGAAGTTTTTAGAATGATAGGGTTGACCCATAAGCATAGTTCAAAAGAGTTTTTACAGTCAAGTTAGGACTGGGATATTCATTACGGGGGGAAATCGATAATTTCTTGGAAAATTCGTGAAAAATTCATGATACTTTGTAGGGATTTTTTTAAGTTTGAGAATGATATAGTTGACCCTTTAGTATAGTCCAGAATGGTTTTTGCGTTCAAGTTATTAGGTCTAGGAGAGTCATTACGGGGGAAAGTCGATAATTTGTTCGTAAATTCGTGAAAAATCGATAATTTGTTCGTAAATTCGTGAAAAATTAATGATGCTTTGTAGGATTTTTTTGAAGTTTAAAGTTTAAGAATAGCAAAGTTGACCCTTTTGCAGAGTTCAGAATAATTTTTGCATCCAAGTTAGGTCTGGGAGATTCATTACAGGGAGAAATCGATAATTTGTTGGAAAATTCGTGAAAAATCAATGATGCTTCGCAGGGATTTTTTGAAGTGTGAGGATGATAGAGTGACCCTTTAGCATAGTCCAGAATGGTTTTTGCATCCAAGTTAGGCCTGGGAGAGTCGTTACGGGGGAGGATCGATAATTTTTTGGAAAATTAATGATACTTTGTAGGAATTTTTTGAAGTTAAAGAATGATAGAGTTGACCCTGAACCACAGTCCAGAATAGTTTTTGCAGACAAGCTAGGACTAGGAGAGTCATTACGGGGGGCAGTTGATAATTAGTTGGAGAATTCGTAAAAAATTAATGATGCTTTGTAGGGATTTTTTGAAGTTTAAAAATGATAGAGTTGACCCTTTAGCAGAGTCCAGAATAGTTTTTGCATCCAAGTTAGGTCTGAAAGAGTCGTTATAGGGAGAAGTCGATAGTTTGTTGGAAAATTCCTGAAAAATTAATGATACTTTGTAGGGATATTTTGAAGTTTAAGAATGATAGAAGTTGATCCTGAAGCACAGTCCAGAATAGTTTTTGCAGTCAAGTTAAGTCTAGGAGAGTCATTACGGGGGAAAATCGATAATTTGTTTGAAAATTCGTGAACAATTAATGATGCTTTGTAGAGATTTTTTGAAGTTTAAGAATGATAGAGTTGGCCCTTTAGCAGAGTCCAGAATAGTTTTTGCATCCAAGTTAGGTCTGGGAGAGTCATTACGGGGGAAAGTCGATAATTTGTTGGAAAATTCGTGAAAAATTATTGATACTTTGTAGGGGTTTTTTGAAATTTGAGAATGATACCCTAAAGCACAGTCCAGAATAGTCTTTGCATCCAAGTTAGGTCTGGGAGAGTCATTACGGGGGGAAGTCGATAATTTGTTGGAAAATTCGTAAAAAATTAATGATACTTTGTAGAGATTTTTTCAAGTTTGAAAATGATAGAGTTGCCCCAAAGCACAATCTAGAATAGTTTTTGCATTCAAGCAATGATGATGTCTGGTGAAATTTCACCAGATCTGCAGAACTTTTTGAAAAATGGCAATTTCTGGTGATTTCGAAATTTCATCAATTTTAAATATTTTTAACAATGGCATACACTTTATAAACATCTCTCGTAATGTATTAAAATTAAATTTCTGTTTATTCCAGGCTCTTGTTGCTATTGGCCGGTTATTTTTCAAGTTGGCAACATGTATTTTGTTTGGCCAGTGGCGTTGTTTATGGGGGGTTTCAGTCAAATCAATCGAAAACTCGAAATTTTCATTTTTCATATTTTCGAAATTTTGGAATTTTCCAATTATTGATTCAGCGGGTTTAAATTAATCGAAAAAAAATTCTAACATCACTCAAAATGGCGATTTCAAAAAGCTAAGAAGTCTCAATTTTCGTTCTGGACATTTTTTCAAATCTTGACAAGGTTAGGAATAATGGCCAATATCTTCAAAGAAATTTGAACAAATCAAACCAAATTATATATGGTTAGAAAGAGCATTAAATTCTCTATAAATCCATGCTAAATTGGTTCTGATAACTCGAATACTTTCTGGGCAATTGTATCTCAAAGTAAACTTTTAGTCCAAATTTTTTTGCTTGTATGTACATACAGGGTGGCCAATTGAAAACGAAACAGAGGTGATTTCGGGCTCCCCAAGCCATTTAAGAAAAAACCCTCGTACCCGTCAATTTTTGATTTAAGGGGGAACCATTTTTTTGGTGTTTTCACCCCCTGGGGGGCAAAGCCCTAGCGGGGGTGGCAAGGGCCCCCAAAATTTTAAATGGAATGAGGGGTCGAGTGATACCTTATTTTGAAGCTATTTTTATGTAGATTATAACCCCCGAGTCTCACATCGCTACTATCTACCTAGCCATTACAGGGGCTAATTAAAGTTACAAAAACATGTTGGAATATTTTTATTTAAAAAAATGCTTTAAAAACAAAATCAATCAAGTAAATGCTGAAAATGACCTCAGAAGAAAAAATCTAACGGGTTTAAATCTGGAGAACGCGGGGGCCACTCAATATTGACGAGCCACTGCAGCATAATGGGATGACGCACAATCTTGTTGGAATATTAGTGTACGCATCTGTTAACATTCTCTAGTATCTCCACCAATTCTGGATGAATCGCAACTCCTAACCACTCTAGGTACATTTCTCCTGTTAAATTTATAGGTAAAAAAGGGGCCTATTTACGGTTATCAAAAATGCTAGCCCAAACACTCAAATATTGTATTAAATAAATATTGTATTGAATATAAAAAAATTGTATTAAATAATGGAGTATAATTAAATGGTATTTTGGTTGATGTGCTACTAACCCCCTTTTTCGTTTTATTTCCTCCTCCCTCACCATTGAAAAACTCATAACCCAATTATTTTTTTTCAATAAATGGAGCAGCAGTTTGTATATTTCTCTGATGAATGCTCCTTTTTTCTTGAACGGTACGGTGAATCGTCTCAACTGCCGCTATTGGGCTAATTCAAATCCCAGAAAACATATTTCGTGAGGTACATACGCAACATCCCGAGAAATTGAGTGTTTAGGCTAGCATTTTTGGTACCTAACCGTATAATAGACTCCTTCTTTACCTATAAATTTAACAGGAGCAATGTACCTAGAGTGATAAGAAGATGCGATTCATCCAGAATTGGTGAAGATACTAGAGAATGATAACGGATACATGGAAAACCGTCTAATATTCCAACAAAATGGTGCGCCACCCCACTATGCTGCAGTGATTCGTCAATATTTGGACCAAAGGTTTCCAGGACAATGGATTCGAAGGAGAGGCCACCGCGTTCTCCAGATTTAAGCCCGTTAGATTTTATCTTCTGAGGTCATTATCAGCACTTACTTGATTGATTTTGTTTTTAAAGCATTTTTTTAAATAAAAATATTCCAACATGTTTTTGTAACTTTAATTAGCCCCTGTAATGGCTAGGTAGATAGTAGCGTTGTAAGACTCGGGGGTTATAATCTACAAAAAAATAGCTACAAAATAAGGTATCACTCGACCCCTCATTCCATTTAAAATTTTGGGGGCCCTTGCCACCCCCGCTAGGGCTTTGCCCCCTAGGGGATGAAACCACCAGAAAAATGGTTCCCCCTTAAATCAAAAATCGACGGGTACGAGGGTTTTTTCTTAAATGTCTTGGGGAGCC